ATATATATATGCACTGAATGACCTCAAAAAGCAAAATATTAAAGAAATAAATAATGAAAAAAACATATCATTAATATGTGTTTTAGATCAAGCAAGGAGAAAGGTTGGTAATATATTTTTGCTGACATTTTTCAGAAGGGGAAACATTCTCAGGTATTTTGGGTAGGAATATTTGCAGCTTTCACGTTCTATTAGCGATTGGAGGCATGTTCTGTGTCCTGGCCCAGATTTTCATGTAGAGTAAATGATGACCTCCTTTCCAGTTTGCAGAGGTCTAATTTTAACCATTTTCAAGGAGTTTTAGCAACACTCTGAATAAATACCCGTCAATGCTCGGTGTCAAGTAATCCTGCTTCACGCTGGAACCAAACGCCAGAAATCAAAACAAGACAGAATGCAAGAAAAAAAGAAAAGAAAAAGAAGAACCCCGAGATGCAAACTATCAGGACAGAACACAATCACATCCAACTCTTCATCCAAGCAGCTCGTGAATAGCCACAAAGAATTATCCGTCGTAATTAACCGACGTGTGGGGAACATATGGGAAGCAATCCTGCAGATTTGTTTAAAGGGTATAGAGCCAAAATGGTTTAAATCTCCTCCATTTTGGAGGGGCTTTTGTGGTTTAAAGTGGCTTTTAGCAGTCACTGATTGACAGAGTGTCACTGTGCAGCAGAATGTGTTTCTCCTCTTAGCTTGGTAGAGCTCCATTTTCTGCGGTTCTACTTAGAAATCAGTCAAAACCAAGAAAGCCCTCGTGCCACTCAGTGCAAACTGCGACGGAGCAATCAGCCACATTTGGCGCTTGTGCCCATGCGTTATTGATTGACCCGACAACGTTGCGGTGATGTCATGGTGAACATTTGACACAGGTGCACACTTGAACTTAAGCACGGGCACAAACAATCCCCTCTGCATGCTGATACGGATGCAATGACGTCATGTTCGATCCCTCTCAACTACCAATAGGGGTGACGTCAGTAGAGCGGGGCAGGGGTGTTAGGAAGCGCCGTAAAACCTTTCTGGCCACGGTTCTGCTACCTTTCTCTAAAGCGTGCCGTCGGACTGTCAGCCGTCGTAGCCCGTCACCGTGTTTTGTACTTTGTTGAGGACATGGAATGCAGAGGCGCGACCTGTGTGCTGAAGACATGGAGGACGGGGCGGTGGGGAGGAGGGGGGGATGCAGGTGGACTGAGACCAACCTGTTGCCTCGATAATACACTCATTAGATTGAGATGTGAATGAACATGGCACTGTGACATAGGGGAATTTCACAGCCCACATGGTAGCTCTTCCTCTTGTTGCATTAATATGCCCCTCATGTTCCATTCAGACGTAGGCTCGGTTTGCTCAACATCACTCGTAACCAATGGCTCTGACAAACATCCACATATTCAATGCCATTATTAGTGGCAGAATTTTTAGCTTGGATATATTAAAACTCACTTTGACAATTAAAAAAAAAAAAAACACATTTTCGGAATATTTCAAGTGAGGATAAAAGCTGACGTATCTTTTAAGTAGAAAAAGAAAAACGAATGCGTTCGATCAGATTCAATGCTCTTTATCCTCCATCTCCTCTTTGGATATCTGAATCTTGTGCAGGGTTGCAGTCAGCTCTCTGCTTTTCTCTTAACGTGAAACACAAAATGACCTTGATGGGAAAAATAAAATAACACTGTCGCCAAAAACCTCCCGAGCTCCTTAAACTACCTGCCGCCTGATAACCGACAGCGTGCCAGTAGGAAAACATTTCACGGAATGATTTCTTTTTACTGGATCCCAATATTCCGAGACCTGTTGTTGCCAGACGAGCCCAAACCCACTGCGTAACTTTCTGCTCATCTTCAGCCGGGAGTGAACCCAGCAGGGGAGGAAGCCGCTAAGATCCCCCTCTTGTCGCCCTCACAGCCACGTTTGGTGTCATTAGTCAATAATTAATTCCGTCCCAGTGTCTGAGATCACAGTAACAGGTTTTAATGGCGTCATGTGGTAGAGTAAACATGGCAATCTGTCGCCAGGGAACGGGAGCAGTGGGGCACATTGGGAGGTTGAGCCAGTGGGGTGTTAGTTCAAACCCTTGCTTCCAGTACTGGAAGGATGGCTTGGAGGAGAGACATGGTCTCTGAGCCAAATGCGTTTAGTTAAGTCACTCAAGGGGGGTGGGTCAGGAGGAAATGCCTTGTGACCGTCCTCCCCTCCTTCTCACAACCCTTCCAAGTACCCATTCTGCATTTCAATGGACCAACCTGCTCCTGACGGGGGAGCAAGGACGATGGAACAAAAATGAGCCGCAATGAACAAATCCGCCTTAAGATGTATGAAAGTACTCATGGTGCAGCGTGATGGATAAATTCAACAAGTCAGACAATCAGAGTTTGAAGCTTACCCATTCTGAGATCTGCTGCTTCTCAAGTCCTCTGTCAGATCGCCATCAATGCCGGGGCGCAATCTCTAAAGGGGCTCCTGACATTAGCCTAGGCATAGGTGCAACGGTAGTGTTGAGGAATGCGGCCAGTCGACCTTTTTTTTTTCACCGAGGTCTTATTCATCAGTGGGGTGCAGAAAAAGAGATTTCACCGCAGCATCCGAGCCATGCCTGCAGCTGGCCCGAGCCTCAATTGTCTGAGAAAATGCTAATGCAGGCTCTGAGTGTTTTCAGTGAAAGACGGCACGCATTGTTCAAGCCTGCATCGGTTTGAAGGGGGGGGGGTCTTCCCTGCCGCATCACCCTTTTCACTGCTCTCATCCATATTCATCGAGTGGCCTGTCCGTCTGCAGCAGCACGCAGGACTGGCAGTCGGCGCAGCCAATGGCCGGCCTCCTCTCCTCAGGACGTCACGTTCCCACCCCCCCCGACGCCGGTCCCCAAAAAATTGAATTTTCTCCTCTACTCCGCCTCTTTTGACGCAGCACTATAAAGTACGGCAGTCCATTCACTCACTCTTTTCAGAGAAAAGTGACAAAGGTGAAGTGGCTGAAGGAGCGGACGGCAGCGCTGGACGAAGAGCTTCGCACAATGACCTTCAGTAGAGGCTGGAGAGGTGCATGGAGAACATAGCCAGATGATGGAGGAGGTGGAGGAGGAGTGATCGGAGACGGCGCGCTTTACGCCACCCACCCTCCTTTCCTCTTTTCCCCCACCCCCAATCCCTGAGACGGCCATGTTTGAGAGGGCGGAGGGGCTCATCAACCATTGCAAATGGCAGTGCCGCAGAATGGTGGAGGGGGGTGATGAAGCCAATCACTACGCCTATAAATCTTACACCGAGAGGTATCTTAAGTGACCGTATGAGTGTAAAAAACTGCAGTGTGCTTGTGTGCAAGTACCTGTTAGTGGACACGGGGGTCCAGCTTCATTTAACGGCGCATTCCAGGAAACCTGCACACAATGAACTCGCTCCCTCCTGGATGTTGATCAGTTTGATCAAACCCTAACATTTTTCCTTTTTTTTTTTTTTTTTTTGGCTGTTGAAATAAGCACCTTCCAGAAGATTCTAGCAGAGAGATGCTCCACTGTATAGCCTCAGCTTCCCTGTAGACTCCACTTTCTCTCAGGGTCTATCTGGCTCCTCTTTTCTCTCCGTCTCCTCATTACTTTCGCTTCCTCCTATTCTCTGTTTCGCTGCCACCTGGCAAATTCACAGTCCGCTCACGTCACATCGCTCTGCAAGGGCACCTGTGTCCTTCCCTCCAAAAAAAAAAAAAAAATCAAATAAATAAATAAACAAATAAAAACACAGCTCACATTCCTGTGCCAGCCTTTCCATTAGCAACATAACGAGATCATAGAACCCCCCCACCCCCCACCCCAAAGCAAACAACCTTTCAGAAGGCGTCTGCTTGCCAACAACGTGGGCTCACAGTACGGATAATTTCGAAAGAAAAAGAGTGAATGAATGATGGTTCATTTTGAGGAGAGAAGGGCGTAGCTGATAAAAGAGTAGTCATTTCCCTCATTCAGTGTCCACGGCTCCTAATGCACAGCGAGGGGGGGCTCTCGGCTTTGAAAGAGCCAAGGCTTTCTTCTCTTTGTTGTAACTGCCAGTCATGTTAATGATCAGTTGGGTTGGAATAACGTGATCAATATCAGACGTAGTCTTGGGGCTGGTGATTACAGGGGTGGCTGAGGATTAGCAGCCTGTCTAACACTGTTGTCAGACAGGCTGCAGAAGAGACAATACAAAGATCACTGGATGGAAATGATTTGCTTTTCTGCATTTGTTTTAATTTTTCCCTCCACATCAAATTCCAGTAAATAATTAGGCATTTCAGAAGGGCCTTGAGGCTGTTCTGCATACCCCCTTGCTGTACTGTTAAACTCGGACTATACGCAAATCATACATTTAGGCAGCCACCTGCAACATGAATTAGTTTAGATGTTAAAAGAGAGCAGGATAAAGTTTCATCAATTTCTGGCACTTGAGCACCAGAAATACATTTCCTGATCAATAAATAGCAAGTTGGAGTAAAATAAATACTCATCAATGTCAATTTAAACAGTTTTTAGAAATTTGAAACTATTCCAAATTTATATTCCCAACTAATGTCCACCCATCGTCCAGACTGGCTTTACAGAGGGGCTGCAGCAGACAGCGGGAACGGGGGGGGGAGCTGGCTCTAGCCAGGGTCTCAGTCTGTCACAGCGCAATGCAGGGACATACAAGACAACCATTCACACCTAGGGGCAACTTAGACTCACTAATCTAACACAACATGCATGTTTTTGGATAACAGAAGGAAACTGGAGTACCTGGGGAAAACCTATACACACCAAATTTCTTCTGTAGGTTGAATATCAAATTACGTACCCCCCCCCACCCCCCAGTTTTAGTATCAGCTACAGATGTGATTTATTGCTATTCTGATTTTGTAATGCACTTTCTGTATAGGCATGGCCGTGGCACAGGGGTAAAGCGTGCACCCCATGTACGAAGGCCTTGGAACGACGCATTCGTCACAGGTTCGAGTCCAGGCCCGTTGACCTTTGCCGCATGTCTTCCCCTCTCTCACAGTCCACTTTCCTGTCAACTACCTCTCAAACAGAGGCCACTATAAAGTGGAACATGTTGTTTTTGTTTTGTTTTTCTTTTAATACCCATTAGGCACCAGTGTCCTTTATTTACAATAATTGGACAGGAAACAGGAAGCAGAGAGAAGGGGAACCCAGGACAACCGCGTCGAGGACTACAGCCTCTGCTCTACTGACGGAACCACCCAGGGTCACAATGGCAGTTTTGAAACAGTAGCTTCATAAAGTATTAATATGCGGGTAACTAAGCCATGCCTCTTCCCATACATACACTTCAGAGACACACAGAGCAGGGTAATAGGTGATGCTAAGCTGGTAGGAGACGTCAATAACCAGAGTTTTGACTCAGAGCATCTCTGACCATACGTAAATAAAAATGGATGGTCTTCTGATGGACTAGCGAACCTTCCAGAGTGAACCTGTTGTCCCTCAGCGTCCCCTGGGACAGGTGCGAGGCTCCTTGACTGATCCTGTATTACTTAAAGACATAAAACCCTGCTCTCGAAGCTGCTCTTTCCCCGGAGTCACTACATCAATTATCCAACATCAGGTTGCGAAATTATGGAAGCGGCAACACTAAAAAGCCAAAACCATATGTGCCAATTAAAACGTTCGTCAACACTCCTCCAACATTCACATCAGCTGGTAATTGAATGAGAAAATCCGAGCCGGGTGTTGGTGCTTGCAGGTAAACGGTGAAAAACTCCCTCCGAGAAGCAGGAGCGCCACATTAGCTCTTCTTCTGCAGCTGATTTTTTCGAGGTGTTAATGGATGACATGTGGGGTTTGGAAATGTTCTAAAACACTGCCTGGTGCCATCAGGGATCCCTTCGTGCCTTGCTGAAATTTCATTTCTGAGGAGCAGTGAAGTGCAGAAAGGATCCGCTCACGCTGTCAGAAAATATGATATAATGCTGCTGTCACCAAATGAGGTGCTGCTGGTGCACAAAGGGAGAAATCCTAGTAACATATGGTGAAAAAAACAAAACAGTGTTTCTCTGCAGACATCTAATTAACATTAAGTTGTTGAGTAAGTGTTTGCTGTGAGCTGCAGAGCATAACAGCCCTACGCTGGAGTAAGACGTACAGTAGCTTGAATCAGCCATCATCCTCTGACTGCGGCTCTCTAAACATCTTGCAGAAAAATTAGGACTCATGCAGTGGTTCTTCGTCACCACTAAACCCAACCGTTACCGTGACACTGCAGCAAATAATTCCCCGTTCTTAATATCCTATGTTTATGTTGCAACACAAGTCTTCTCTTACATCTTTTTTTAACAAGCATTTCAAGATTTCTGATTGGTATTTTACCCTCCAGCCCGATTGGCCTCATCAGGAAACCTATAAATAACCGTGGTTAGATAGAGATCTGCACTACGACCGGCGATGAGTGTTCACCCTGGAGGCTTGTATAAATTTTACCTATTGGTTTTCCTGCTTGGCTGAGCTTATGATTTAAGTGTCAACGTTTCGAGAGCGCCACAGCTCCGAGAGTGACTCTGAAACTCACAAAAACAAGGATCCACCAGACCTCCGCTGTTCCTCGTCAATGTTCATAGAAAAACATTCAAAAGGAAGCTCGTTTGGTGATGGATGAATACAGTTGTTTAGCAATTACATTCATAGAGTAAAAGAAGAACAACCAGGACAGATGCTGACAGGAGCAGAGATGCTCCTACAAGTGGTCTAGGTTACCAGCATCTTTTTTTCCTTTTCCAATCAGTGAACACACCATGTGAGCTCTCACTCTTTACGCCCGACAATAACACTCTTTGGTGTGGAAGCTATTACTGAGCGATTGACTCAGACGCTTCGAGCATCCACGGGGTCAATGACAGCACAAAAACTGTATGAAGCTTTAGTAAAGGAAGCTGCATTTTCTACGCTTTCTTCAAACGGCTGCAAAGAGGAGTCAGACATCAGCAGATAAAACAAAGATTAATATATTACAGTTACTGTGTTTATCCTTTTTAAGAGTTGTTTTATTTCTGTCATAAAACATGCTGGATGTGCTTTGGAAAGCGCTGAGTTAAGGAATGGATCTCGTCTCCAAGGTAGCTAATTAGTAATGCTAACAATGCTATTTGCTAAAATAAAATGCTGAAACCAGTTCAAAAAGTTAATTCTGTAATCATTTAGTCTTTGTATTGAAATTTTAGTAAAATCCTGCACACAGAATGACAAGGACACCTGTGAATAATTGATCACAACACAGAAACTTCCTTAGGGTTTTGTATAGTAACAACAGGTGGACGGATTAACCCAAAGTATTGATAAGTTCAATAATACCAATAAGTTGGTATCAGTGGTGCGATCGTTGCTTTAGTTTAAGAATCTCTCCTAAAATTTTATTTTAATTTTGTAATGGACTTTCTCAACTCCACCTCAGAAAAATACTTTCTTTTGATTTGTTTACAAATCATGTTTTTTTTTGTCTGCTTTGTTTATGCAGAAAAAGATTCACACAAATATATTTTGTTTTTCTATTAAAGCATAAACCTAAAAACTTTGCCCAATTCTGTTTTAGGTTTTAACAAAAAAAATTAATAAATTAAAGGAAAGCCCACAAAAACACCTAAAGGTCAGAAGCCTGATGATACATCAAACTTAAATACAAAAAGTTCTGAATCGGTATCGCCAATACTGGAGCTGTATTACTTGGTACCTGATCAATATCAAAATATGCCTTACTGTCTCTAATAGTATAATTAAATTGCTTAACAATGACCTGAAAGACCTGTCCATGTTGATTAGTTAATTTTATATTATTTCTACGTTTCATAATGAGACTATGTTTTGGTTTTAGCCACTTCCTTGGATGTGTTTTTATTTGTATGGAGGACTCCTGTGCAAGATCCACCTCTTTCTAAGTACCTGCAGCGGCTGTGATCTGTTTTCTCTACGGTTCCAATTATCCCTGCCATAAACACGGTTTATGTTTCTTGCTTTTGAGGGTGGAAAAAAGAAACGGGGAAAAAAAAACCCCGAAGTTCAACAAAGATTTTTGTGAGTCTAATAAATTCGAGCCTATAACAGAGAG